ATACATTGGATTCTGCTGTGAATCTGTATGTTTTCTATTCTCACCGATTCTCACGTTTCGTCTTATTATTACAGGACAGCATGGATCGCCTACCGGACGACGCTCTGCTGGAGGTGCTGAAGCGCTTGGACGTGGCTGACCTCCTCGCCTGTCGCCTGGTCTGCAAGAGGCTGGCCGCCCTCGCCCTGCACCCGGACGCGTGGCGGCACCGGCACGTCGTGGAGTCAGGCTGTCTGTGCCCGACGCTGCGCCTGGCGCCCTGCCTGGCTCGTCTTGAAGTTAAAGTGCGTTCTCGGCGTTTGACTTTGAAGGGCCGCTGCACCCAGGAGTACGCGACCACCTGCTGTGCCGCGGCGCAGCTGCACTTGACTGTTGAGGACTACTCCGAGGAGGACGCCGCTTTGATCATCCGACGCCAGGGCCTCCTTGGCCGGCTGAAGAGACTGGAGGTGACATGGCGTGATTCATCGATTGCCCTCGATGACTCAGTATTGCTGACGGCCGTCGCGTCAACTTCTGGGCTACATGTGCTGCGTGTGCGCTTGAGGTTCATGCCAAGTAATAAGACTGACATGTCTATCCTAACGAAAAACTTGCTCAGCATCGCCGTGCCCTGCTCCATCAGGGAATTTGAATGTGGGGGGCCTGGGGGGCCTGGCACGATTGAGCCCTTCGTGAACTATGTTCTGGAAAGGCATGCCGCTGCCCTGGAGACGGTTGATCTGTTACCAGATTGGTGTTGGACCTGGGGTAGAAACTCATCGGTGTCCACCTCGACAGCTGCCCAGCTCGCCGGGCTTCCCAAGCTGCGCAGCCTTGCCTGCCATCTCTTTCCCGAAGTGACCGCGTGCAAGACCCTGCGGTTCCTAAAGCTCGGGCTGTTGAAAGGATCTGGGCTCGTTCAGGGGCTCTTCCGCCACGTCGAACAGCTGCAGGAGGTAGCGCTTTCGATGGTGTACACGGAACTCTCACAATCCGACGTTTTGTCGGAGACGATTCTCGCCCTCACCGGGTCGCACCTCAAGAGCTTGATGGTTGCTTATGAGACGACCGACGCCGCTCCCGTCGCGCACAACGATCGGTGGTCGCAGGCGCTGCTCAGCGTGCTGCCTTTGTTGCCTGCACTACAAGATCTAGCTGTGTCCTGGCCGACGGATCAACTTTTGCGAGGCATCAACCCCATCACCAGCCCGGCGCTGCGACGCCTGATTTTGTCATGCCCTGAACGTACAGGTGCCTGCCCCCAGGCGCTGGTTCACACTGGTGCGGTCAGGGATCTATTTTCTGCTAATCCTTCTGTGTGCGTGGGCGTTCGACCTCCGTGCCCGGGAGTTTGCAACTGCATGGAGTGCGTGGGCGTGGGTTCCTTGGAGGAGTATTACGACTATATGTATGATGTTGTTTCACTTTCTTTGATGTGATACCATACAATATGTGTAGGTTTTTGTAAAACGAAAGTGGCACTGGGGTTTATTTTTAAATTAAAAGATTGATTAATTTTGCACCGCGTGCTTGTGTTTTGTTTTTTTGAAGCGCTACGGCCGCAGTGTCACTTTGACGCGATTCCCCGATGGAGATCGAGAGGTTTTGACAGAAACGTTCTGCTCGCCTGCCGCGTTCGGGAGGCGGCGGTGTTGTGTTACATTCGGCGCGGGCCCGGGGCCCGGACGGCCAACTACTGTTCCACCACCGCTGCTCCGGTCAGTCGCTGGTGGACTGCCGTTCGGCGGGGAGACCCGACGCTACACCGCGTCGATTGTGTCGAGTACAGACATTTCGTAATCCCAGCAGATGGGCTCGGGGGTTGCCTAGCAGCACAGATCCGCGGGTTTGTTTGGGGCAAAGTGTAGTCTCTTGTTGTAGCCCTACGGCCTAGAAATTGACCGATGTAACTGTTTGAAATCCAAGCAGGGCCTCCTGAAAGCGCGACGGCCACAGGATGTTCTATAAACATACAGGTCAATTGGGTCAATTCCAGCGGCATGGTCACGAAAAGCTCTCGGGGAATTCAGTATAAAATCGCGCCATGAGGTTAGTTGGGGGCATTAAAAATGAATTATCGTGCACAGAGCACAATGCTAGGCTGGGCAGACGTAGGGTTTGTGTGTGTGTGTGATGTGTGTGTGTGTGTGTGTTGTGGTGATGATCGCGAAATTATCCGGTCTGAGACAAGAAGGGGGGAATTTGTGCAACGACGCACGCGCGCACACACACACACACACACACACACACACGAGCTCGCCTCAGTTTGGGCATCCTCTCGCCGAGTACCGGCGCGACAAGGTGCGGACAATGAGGAGCATGTCGTTGAGCAGCGCCGCTATGGCAGCGCCCTGCCGCCGGATGGCGTTATCAGCACGCGAGCTGCACCACTTGTACACACTGAAAAAAAATATTCCCAAAATTACATCAGATATTCCAAAAGTATTCCAAATGTTCCACTAAAAATTTAAGATATTCCATCAAAAATGGCAAAATGTTCCACCAAAAATTTAAGATAATCCATCAAAAATTTTCAAATATTCCACCAAAAATTTCCAAATATTCCAAAAATATTCCAGATATTGCAATGTACACAAAAAAAATCTGATTGCTCGACCCCTCGAAAACTACATTAAGTACCATATTCAAACTTACGAAATAAATGCAGGGGAAAACGGGAGGAAAGTACAACGGTATTGCAAATATATAGTTAGAACCCAAGATAACTAATTTTTTAAAAAATAGAGAGAGAAAAAGGAGTTGTTGCTCTATCTTCGACACTCGTCAGCTGTGGAAAGGAACAGCCGCGATCATCCTGAGGTGTGCGTGCTGTTTGTTTGGAGCGAGCTGGATTAAGGGGTACAAATACGCGGGTTGCGGGAATGGAAGAGAGAGAGAGACAGAGAGAGAGAGAGAGAGAGGTGTCGAACGGGAGCGGCATATCAAGCATGCCGACAGGTCGGCGTTTGATGTCTGATGCGAAGGCGTCAAGTTTATAAGGCAGTGATGTCATTAGCACTCGGGGCACGCGGAGCGCAGCGCGTCCGGCCGCCGCTGGCTCGACGGACCCGAGATTTATGTTCAATGAGAGCGCGGAAAAATTTGAAGGAAACAAACCCCGTTGTCCTCTGGGTAGCGTTTTCAAAATTTGATTTGGGGGAGGAGAAGAACACAAAAAAGAAAGATCGCAAGATTGTGTCCCGCCCCAACCGCGTGAAGTCATTATTAAGCAGCAATCCACCTTTGTGAATGGAAAAGAGGAAGGCGGAGTGAGAGGGAGAAACAGTTTCCGAAAGTGACACGGCGTACACGACCGCTTCATCAAGACGATCAAGACGCCGAGCGCCGAAATCGCCAAGGGGCCTTTAACAACTGTTATGAAAGGAGAACAAAGTAAAAAGACCGGCAGCGTCATTCTCTGCCCGAAACAAAACATCACACACACACACACACACACACACACACACACACATACGTACACGATTTGTGATCCGGAACTCGTTATATTGCTTGAATAACTTCATCACCACATTGTTTGACCCTCGAACAAATAATCATGACTACATTATTACGTCTGCCGTATTTTATTTTTGCACAAACCGGCTTACATGGAATGCCAACCCCAAACCGGAAAGGCGTTTGACGTTGTAGATTTTACAAAACGTTCTTTCCGGCTATCTCTACTTTTTACACTTTAAAATCACGCAGGGAAAAGAAGATGTATAATAGTGTATCCAAGCATCATGATAGCCGTCTAGCCCTCTCTCTATGGCCAGTCACACTAGTCGCGTTTTGAAAACTAGCATTATAGCTGTGGTGAAATGCGATCAGTTAGGGTCCGTTATTAATTGCCGCAATAATTGTTTCTCAGGTGTAGGCCCCAGCCGCGGCGCCCCCTACAGGTCACTAGGGGGCCTGTCGTCATCGCCGACTGGGGTCCGTCCCTTCAGACACCGTGACACCTGCATAAAGACACACAACAATTTTGACATGAAACAAAACGATCGACCTTTGCGGTGTTTTTTTTTCTCCCTTTTTTTGTTGCACTGGCCAGGGCCAAGGCATCATTTCGATTAGATTTAGAAAGGTGGGGAAACGAGCTACAAATTAGATTTGCTGCCCAGAAAACAGGCGTGCCGATGAGTTGTTTACACTCTCAAGGGAGGTGTCCGCCGCAGCGCCACGGCGATGAAATCAATTTCCAGAAGCGTTGGAAACTACCGGACCTCTAATAGTACCGACCCGCGGCGCGCCCCTCTTGGACGTGATCGGGAAATTGAAATGGGATGGGCACCCAATCGATCAGGGCCGCGTCTGGAAGGGAGCGAGTGGGAGACAACAGCAGGGAATAGGCGAAACAACGGTGGGCCACCTCGGACGCAGCCCGCATCGGCCCATACCACGCGCGAGAAAGGAATGGAAAGGAAGAGAGAGAAAGGCGTGTGGAGATGCGCGCCCGAAACTGACCGAATCTCGCGCCCCTCTAAGCTATGCGTTCCACCAAACACCGCGAAAACAGGTGAATGTTCCCTATGCGGGCAAGCCCCCTTTGCGACCTGTTACCCAATCCTACTCGCAATGCATCGATCAAGGTGTCTTCGTGTTGCACACACCGGATGACAGCCATCGATAGCCGATCTGTCGCTCCAATCCGGTGTTGTAATTCAATAATCCGTTCAGTCAGCAAGGCCCTTTTATCTTTCGTAAATAAGACCCTCTACAAAATAAAGTTTCGTTCAGACTTCTGCAAATCCTCCTCCATTTAAATGTTTAAAGAGCGAAAACCAAATTAGATACCCACAAATAAAAATCAAAAGCAATTTAATTACATTTTTTCAAGAAAGAGCAGTTGGAATTATATAAGACTTGTTTCCTCATTAAATAAACCGCTTAATTGTTGCTAGTATTTCTGTAAATAGCAGCAAATAGTCACAAGCAGCATCATACCATCCCGGAATAATATTTAAAGTCCTCCTGCCATGACTGTGGTTCAACCCAGCTGAAACAGGTGGAACACACCCAAACACCCAGAAAATATGTTCTTGATTCCATAAGTTAACTCATTTCACTCAATGCATCCTCTCTTGACCAGTCCCCAGTCAGAGCCAACTTCATCAATGCCATACTTTTCTGGGTGTAATAGAATACCCGAGGGTACCCCCTGTTCCAGCTATCCCACACACTTTCCAGCAGTGTCCTGTGCGTCCTGCCCTTCCGGGGGCTCGTGCTGCACCGGCACGAGACTGCCACTGTTTCGAAAGGCTCCTCGTCTCGCGGTCCTCCTCCACCCTCCCCCCGCTGCACCCGCCAATCACTGCCGGCCCGTCGCGTCACTGACAGTGAATAATTAGGAACGCCTCACTAACTCGATAAACATGCCATTATGACAGGGATCCAAGGAGCTAATCCGAGGGAAGGACGAACACATGCTCTGCAGACGGCTGCTCGTACTATTTATTCATTTTCATTTTTTTCTGACTTTTTTTTGTAGATAAATGTGTTAAAGCTAGAAAGGCTACTGATTTGGGGCGATGCAACCCACACGACTGAGACCGCGAATAGCTCCGGGGCGAACTCTGACGTCGGCGATCTCTCGCAACACCGGCCGTCATTTTTAAAGATTTAGGGAGAGGGAAGGGGAGATTATGAGATGGATGCATGCATATAGAGCGGCAGAGGGCATTTAACTCATGAAAGACAGGCTAGACAGACAGAAAAGGGGGAGGGGGGGCGTGAGGTAAGTGTGTGCCACCTTGTCATATGATGACAGTGCGAGTGCGTCGTAAACATGCAATGTCTCCTCTTGTCCTACCAACCTATTTTTTTTTCTTTTTGGCGTAGAGGAAATGTTGCATTGAGCTGAGGTGCACGCTACTGTGGTTCCCAAACATCTAAGCTGGGCTCATTCGATCGTAAGAAATGGGACTGGTCCAGTCCAGACCCGCAGCGTGAGAGGGGGGAGGGGCAGTTGCTGAAATAAGGGATAGGAGTCATTGAGCATTGGAAAAAAAGAAAACGTAGGCCAGCAAAATTGACTTTTTATTCCTTTATAATTTTTTTTTAAGGGATACAATACTTGCGTTAGCAATTTTCAGACATAACGTTTTTCCTAGTCAAAGATAACAATGATATGTTATCCTTAATTTGAATTATGCACTGGTAAAACAAGTGTGCACTATACACTGATAAACTAAGTGTGCAACTGCTTAACACGTGAACGTGTATAACTGCAAGTAAAATACTAACAAGTGTGCAACTGCAAAGTTGAATACTTGCAAGTATTTAATTCGATAGGTGTGCACTTGCAGGTGTGCAACTCATCAGTTCAGCATTTCCCGCACACAGTAAGCGTTCAATCCAGGGAAGTGTTCAACCGAGGATTTGCACACTTGCAAGTGCACACCTACAGAGTTGGACACTTGCAAGTGTAAGACTACGGAGCTGCACACTTGCAACTATTGAACTTGCAGTTGCACACTTCAGTATTGAGCACTTGCACACTTAGTTTATCAGTGAACTTGTGTTTTTGTCTAATTAGCACACTTCCTGATGGTGTTTAAACATAAAGCACTCTACTTAGTGTACAAAGTTTAAAGTTTGGGAGATGTGAAAACCTTGCACACTTGGTTACACACTGAACCAGGAAACCTGTAAGGGTCAAAAGTTGCACACCAGGAGGTGTGCAGTTGCCTAGACGTTTGCGAAGAGTGCAAATTTTGCATGTTGTGTTAAGGTTTGAGAGTAACAAGTGTGCAAAGTTTTCCAATTCGTGTGCAACACTCTACATTTATTTTACCAGTGTGTCTCAAATTTTCGATTGAGTCTGGGTTTTTCTCTGATTTCTTTTTATTTTAGAGTGGTATTCTGACATTAATGGAAGCAGCTTAGACGGCCCAGTCGCGCGAGAACGAAGGCACTCTTGACAGCTGGGTTCATCTACCGACCATACTTGACATAATGATCCACGGATGGACCAGCTACGAACTACGAACTCGCAAAAGTACGTTGCTCTATCGCGGCGAGCTGTAGGGGCACAGCAGTCCGCTGCGTTCTAAAACACACACTGGACCTAAACCACTACTTGCGAGAGGCGCGTGTAGCCGAGCCCAGCAGACTAATCCGATCAGATTAATGAGCCCGAAAATTATCGTTATCGTTGGTCCCTAACGCGAGTTTGTTTTCCGTAACCTGTTCGCCACTAACGAGCAGGTGTGTGTGTGTGTGTGAGTGTGTGGAATTGGGAAGGGGGGGGGCTTAGTCGGTCTAGGAGTGTGTCAGTCTGCCTAGTGCTCGGGGTAGCGCGTTATGAGTGTGTTTTTAAACCCCAAGAAAAACATTTGCAACTATCATCATCAGTTCCAGGGGTCACCTACTCGTCTTCGGAACAAAACTATGGCGAGAAATGTTTTATCTTTCCTTACTAAATGCAGTTTGCAGGCTCAATTTGTGTGGACTTTTTTCTATGGTTTGGACTTTTCGACAGATTATGGTCCACTACTTTTCATAAATTTTTGTGTTGTGCCCCCTGTGTCGACCTTCGGGCCCGACGGCGTGCATCGTCGTGCAGAGCAGTTCACATTCGGCCGAATGCACACACGTCCATATCTCCTGACGCAACAACAACAAGCGCATAGCAGCGCATATGTGTGTGTGTGTGTGTGTGTGTGCGCGCGCGCGCGGGACAGAGGGAGGGAGGGAGAATCTAGCCCGGCCCAGACGGCGGGGCAGTCTGCTGCTGCTGCTGCTGCTGCTGCTGCTGCTGCTGCTGCTGCTACGGATCAGATCGACGAAACTTAAAATTATAGCTCGGGACTGGATCTGCTCTGCTCAGGCTCAGTCCGACTGCATGAGACAGTGCGCGTGCTATTTATGTTTACGGCTCGTTGGGCCTCTGGAGCAGTCTGGAGCGGTCTGGAGCAGCGGCTCACGAGCTTTAATGATGATTTCGTGTTGTCAGTTTTTGAGCAGCGGCGGCGGTGGAGGCGTCGTCGCACCGCCTTTGCCTCTGTACGATTTACGCCTATCGATATTGCGATAGGCCTATTTACGGGGAGCCGAGGCTAGTGCGGCCGACCCGGGCCCAGTGTCTGTCTAGCCGCTCTGTACAAATGTTGAATCGTGAATGGATCGATGAAGAGATAGGGTGGCGAAAAAACCCGTGGCAGACGCTTTTTTTTTCTTGCGCGTGTGCGCTCTTGTGTGGCTGTCCCTTACTGATCCATCTGGGTTCACGACGTGTCTCAGCAGGCTACATCTTTATATGTATTTTATCTCAGTTGAAAGGTATACGACATCACTACCAAATGGCTGGTGGTGGGGGAGAAAATGAAATAAAACAACTGCTCTCAATACCGCGTACAGAAAGTAAAATGTTTCCTTTCAAGAATGCAGTGTACGCGTTTAAGGGCCGCATTGAGTCGAGTCGATCTGCGCATGTGCGTATTCTGATTGCTAAAGTGCGGGCGCCATACTGGGCCACGCAAAACATCCACCGCAGATGGGCGTGTCGGCAGGGCTTTATATTATTGTGTCCGTGCATGTGTGTGTGTGTGCGCGCACGCACATGTGCATAGGTAATGCAGTGGTTAAAACTGCATTAGTTTGAAGGTTACTCTAGTCGTGTGGAAAAATATCTCGGGCAATCGATTACTCATGCATTTCTTTTTTTTTTCTCTCAACGTTGACATAGAGGGAGACAGATAAATCTTTTGTGGACGGATGGTTTTAATTACGTTAATATTTTTTTAAAAGAAATGATGATGATGATGATAATGACCAATGACGATGAATGAAATGAGCAATAACGAGTTTACGGAGGTGAAATATGGCGTAAATGCTATGAAGGATGACATGAGATGCTTTTGCCGGCTGGGCGGCGGAGGTCCCGCTCTCCCGGACCAACAGACACGGAGCGCTGCCAAGGGTTGTTGTGTTCAGTCTTCACCTCCGGTCATGACCTCCATGAACTCTGCAACAGGGTTGGGAGCCATAAGTATACAAGTACAATAGCAAGGTTATACTGGAAAACACTTTGTGAAAAACCTATATTTCCAGTGTGGAATGGCCTGTCAAAACGGTATCAAAACGATGTCGAAACGACTAAAAAAGGGGTCCAACGCCAACGTGCGAGTTTTCGAGTGTAATGACTGTTAGGCACTTTTTGGCTTCCCAAAACATGAAGTGGCTACCATGTTGCCATAAGGAAACGGATGTAATATGTGTCCTCACCGTCAAAGTCCACGGTGCCTGAGCCGTCAGAGTCAATTTCCTGGATCATCATGTCCAGCTCCTCGGCGGTCACCTTGTCGTCCAGCTCCTGGAGAATCTCACGGAGCACCTGGGTGGTGATGTAGCCGTTACCTGCAACACAGAAGCGGCCTCCAGTCAGGAACGGTATAACAGAGTATGGCCACAATGCGCCTTCCGCCGGGCCACGGCACCACCGTGGCCTCGGGGGACATCGGCACGTGGGCGTCAATCAGTTTCTGGCCGGGCCACCCGGGCCACCCTGTCGGCATGTGTAATCCGAACAGGCGAGCCCACGTGGATATGGCCTAGTGTAACTTCCTAGAAGAACTCATTTGCGAACCGCTTTCCCTGGGCTCGCCCCCTCCCACACCGCGGCGTCCCTGCCCCCTGCCCCTGCACCCGCTTGGCGGGGCGGGGCGGTCCGCGGCGCGGCGAGGCACTCGTATGCACCTGTCCCGCCTCCGCTACGCCCCACCGCGCCGGAAGGGCGTCAGAAGGGGCACGCGTCGTTGAGAGTGTCGCTGGCGCCGACTACTTACCCTCCTTGTCGTAGAGCCTGAAGGCCTCCCTCAGCTCCTGCTGCATGGCTTCGCTGTCCTCCTCAACGAGGAACCGGGAGGCCAGGGTGACGAACTCCTCGAACTCCAGCTCGCCGGAGCCTGCAAGCATTCGCGAATGGCTTTAGCAAAGTTACTAAATCAATATTTTCAGAAACATAAAGATTGTAGAGTTGTTATGATTTTATATGACTTTTAAATGTCAAAATGTAAGTTAATGACTGATTGAGGTTGGAGGTCATTTGTGATATCAATACGTTGACGACCCTTACCGTCGGCGTCAACCTCGGCGATGATCTCCTCGAGGACCTTGTCGGTGACACCGTGGCCCAACATCTCGAGGATGGTGCCCACCATGGTGGTGGGGATGCAGCCAGTCTTGGCCTGGTCGAAGGCATCGAAGGCCTTCTTCAGGACTGTAAATTTACAATAATATAAATTTTGGAAAAAGGAACGCAGTTGCGACTTTTAATTGATTTTTTTTTCATATGAAACTTACGTTGAACCTGGTCCTTGGAAAGATCATCCTGTAATCAGAAAAAAATAACAAATTTTAAATACATTGGCTGCATTTGGGGAAGCAGTCATATACGTCTTTTAACTCCGGTTTTAATAACATTGATATTTTATTCAGATGATTATGCCAACTTAGTATCCTTTCGCTCCCGAAATACGCATGTCCCGATGCAAATGGCTGACACCCAAAGCAGATAACGCCCCAGCAGCTGGCATGAGCACATCCCCTAGTTCTCTAAAAATACAACCGCCACATCACCGCATCAGAGATGGGCGATATAAAGCGCTGCACCGCTTCCAAACCCGAAAGCGGCAGAGAGAGAGAGAGAGAGAGAGGAGAGGGAATGGGGGAAGCTGAGGGAAACCAAATCCTCCTGCAAACTGAGGGAGTTCAGACGCAATAATATTGCAGCAGTTTTCGCGTGGAGCCTCACTCAAGCGGCACGTCAACACACACAACGTCAGTCGAAAGACACCTGCCTCCCTTGACCTGTCACTCCCCCTTCCCCCCTCAACTCTGCTTCGCAGCTCTCTCATATTGCCAGACTATTTTTATTGTTCGACTGCTGTCTTGTCAGTCTCATAATTATTTGCATCTTTGTTCTTTTTTTTATTTATTTTTTATTTTAAGCGCCCCCCCCCCCTATTTGAGGGCTTTTTCCTTAATTACGTAGGTGGCGTGGTGAGAAGCTTGAGTTTGAGTAATTAAGGGCCAATAAAAGTCATATTGCATGAAGAAGAGAAAGAACCACATGATTGCAAACCTTTAAGGTGGCAGCGTGGATTGTTGCATGCAACCTCCCATACGCACCCTACCTTTCCTACACCCACTTGTAAACAACCCTGATCGACAGGTTGTTTTTTTTTAGAACATTGCTTACTAGATGATTGATTACTAGATTAGATAATTGCTTCCCAGATTCTAGATTATCGCTTACTAGATTGTTGCTTCCTAGATTTGAGGTTACCAGATTATTGTTTACTGGAACACAATTATTCTGTAGACGGATGCAAGCTTCTGTACTTTTCGCTACAAATCAGCACCCCTCCCCCCACACCTTTTCCCTCCTACAAATTTCCTGATGCGGCCCTTTTTTTCCCGATTGCCTGTCGTCTCATCTCGGCCGTGTAGCAGCGCGGCCTACACGGCCGCCGGTCTAGCCCGCCAATAAATATTGGGGGGGAAGGTTAAGGGGGCCCTGGGCGGCCTGCGGCCCCGCCCCACCCGAGCATTGCGCCAGCAAGTAGTAATAGCTGTAGTAGTATCAGTCCAGCCAACATAGTGTTCGATTCCTTTTTATTGCGGAAGCAGGCCGAGCAGGGTGCGCGCCGCCTGGCTGATGCTGGCCCACGCAAGCTTCACTGACTGCACACCATATGAAAAGAACGACTGTTTAATTATCACCAGCTTTGTAAATAGTAAAGTAAATATTGCAATAACGATACATAATTATTAAAAGAAGCTATGGATATGTCATGCCACTGACATTTAAAAAAATCTTTCTACGAAAAATAGACACAGTCTTGGGGACTGTCTAAAAAGTCTCTACATGCAGTTGGTTGGAGTCGAATAGTACGGGAGCAGCGCCGACCTCGACGTCCGCAAACGGTAACGGTGGCGGGCGAGGCGGGACGGGCTGAGGCGGGGTGGGGCGGTTGTGTGCGGTCACTTGTGCTCCTCCACAACATGCACTACTTCCAGCGCGCGCTGGACACGAG